GTGATGGGTTGTAATTAGTATTTTGGTGGTGAACATGATGTAGTCCATGCAGAAATAGAAGTACAATGATGTACACCTGAAATTTTTGCAATGTTATAAACCAATGTTACTGCAATAAAAAAAAAAAAAAAAATTGACAAACCTTTACCTTAAATTGACTAAAAAAAAAAAAAATTAGAAGATTCAAAATACCAAAATGAAAGTGGGCACATTACTATCAACTCCTTTGAAACAAAAGAGATTTTAAGAAAGTACTAGTTATGGAGACTGAATCACTAATCAAAAACTTGACAAAGAAAAGCCTTGGACCTGATGGCCTCACTAGTGAATTCTATCAACCATTTAACGAGAACTAATACCTTTCCTTTTCAAACTCTTGCAAGAACATGAACAGGAAACACTTCTAAACTCAGTCTATGGGCCAGCCCTGTGGTGTAGATCCTGGGCATGCACTGACAAATCGCAAGACCAATATACTTGATGATCATTGAAGCAAACATCATCAACAATGGGCCTGCCCAGTGGCGCAAGCGGTTAAGTGCGCATGCTCCACTTCTGCGGCCCGGGGTTGGCAGGTTCGGATCTCATGTGCGCACTGACACACCACTTGTGAAGCCATGCTGTGGCGGCGTCCCATATAAAGTAGATGAACATCGGCATGCATGTTAGCTCAGGGCCAATCTTCCTCAGCAAAAAAAGAGGAGGACTGGCATTGATGTTAGCTCAGGGTTGATCTTCCTCATTAAAAAAAAAAAAAAATCAACAAAATACTAGCAAACTGAATGCAGCAGCATATTAAAAGGATTATACCCCACAACCAACTGGGATTTATTCCTAGAATGCAAGGATGGTTCAACATACAATCAATCAATGTAATATATCACATTAACAGATTAAGGAAAAAATCATATGATCATCTCAATAGATGCACAAAAAGCATCTGACAAAATTTAACACCTTTTCATGATGAAAATACTCAACAATCTAGGAATACAAGGAAACTACCTTAACACAATAGAAGCAAAAGATTAAAAATTCACAGCTAATTTTAACATTCAATGGTAAAAGACAAAGTTTTTCCTCCAAGCTCAGGAACAAGAAAAGGATGTCAGCTTTCACCACTACCATTCAACATTGTACTGGAAGTTCTAGACAGAATAATTAGGCAAGAAAAAGAAATGGAAGGCATCCAAAAGGGAAAGGGAGAAGTAAAATGATTTCTGCTCATGAATACATTACACACAGATTTCACCAAAAAAACTGTTAGGATAAATGAACTCAGAAAAGTAACAGGATACAAATAGAACACAAAACAATCAGTTGTATTTCCGTACACTAATAATGAACAAACCGAAAAGAAAAACAATTCCACTTATAATAGTATCAAAAGAGTAAAATACTTAGAAATTAACTTAACCAAGGAAGTAAAAGACATGGACACTAAAAACTTCAAAACGGTGCTAAAAGGTAATAAAGACATTAATAAATAGAAAGACACCTATATTCATGGACTGGAATACTTAATATTGTTAAGATGTTAATACTACCCAAAGCCATCTACAGATTCAATGTAATCCTATCAAAAGCCCAATGACGTTTTTTCAAATAGAAATATTCAATGAATAGAAAAATTCATCCTAAAACTCATATGGAATCTCAAAGGACAATGAACAGCCAAAATAATCTTGAAAAAGACCAAAGTTGGAGGAGTCACACTTCTTAATTTCAAATTTTAGTGCAAAGCCACAGTAATCAAAACAGCGTGATACTGGCATCAAGACAGATATGTGGACCAACGGAATAGAAAAGAGAGTCCATATATATATATGGTCAACTGAGTTTCAACAAAGAGGCCAGACTTTTAAAGACACAATGCTGGGAAAACTGGATATCCACATGCATAAGAATGAAGAGACTCTTACTTCACACTATATGCAAAAATTAACTCAAAATGGATCACAGATCTAAACTTAAGAGCTAAAACTATAAAATTCTTAAAAGGAAGCATAGATGAAAAGCTTCATGATATTGCATTCAGCAATGATTCCTTGGACATGACATCAAAGGCACAAGCAACAAAAGGAAAATAGACAAAATGGACTTCATCAAAATGAACAACTTTGTATATCAAAAGACACTATGAACATAGTAAAAAAGCAACCCACAGAATGGGAGAAAATATTTGCAAAGCACATATCTGAGAAGCGATTAATATCCAGAATATAGAGAGAACTCCTAAAACTCACCACAAAAAAACCAAACAAGTTGATTCAAAAATGGGCAAAAGACTAGAATAGACATTTCTCCAAAGAAGATATACAAATGGCCGATAAGTGCATGAAAAGATGCTCAACACCACCAATCGTTAAGGAAAGGCAAATCAAAACCAAAATGAGAAACAACTTCAGGCTCATCAAGATGGCTATTATCAAAAAAAAAAGCAGACAACAAGTGTTGGCAAGGACCGAGAAATTGGAACCTTTGTGCACTGCTGGTGGGATTATAAAATGGCACAGATCGGGCCGGCTCCGTGGCTTGGCGGTTGAGTGCGCGTGCTCTGATGCTGGCGGCCCGGGTTCGGATCCCGGGCGCGCCCCAAGGCACCACATCTCCGTCCAACCCGAGGCCGAGTCCCGCGTACAGCAACTAGAAGGATGTGAACCTACGACATACAACTGTCTACTGGGGCTTTGGGGGGAAAAATGAATTAAAAAAAAAAATCTATAAAATGGCACAGATGGTATGGAAAACAGCATGGTGGTTCCTCAAAGAATTAAAAATACAATTATCATACGATGCAGCAATCCAGTTCTGGGTATTATAGCCAAAAGAATTGAAGCAGGGACACTAAAAGATATTCGTACACCCATGTTCCTAGCAGTATTATTCACAAGAGCTAAAAGATGGAAGCAACCCAACTGTCCATCGATGGATGAATGGACAAATGTGGTACACACATACATTAGAACATTATTAGGTCCTAAAAAAAAGAAAATTCTGACACAGGCTAGATGAACCTTGAAGATATTATGCTAAGCGAAATAAGCAAAACAGAGAAGGACAACTACTGTATTATACCCATATGAGATACTTATGGTAATCAAATTCATTGAGACAGAAAGTTAAAATGGCGGCTGCCAGTGGATAGGGGGAGGAACTGTTTAATGTGTAGTTTCAGTTTCCAAGATAAAAAAGTTCTGTAGATGCATGACTGTGATGGTTGCACAACACTGAGAATGTAGTAATGCCACTTAGATATGATAAATTTCTTGTTAGGTATACTTTACCACAATTAGAAAAAGGGAAAAGAACCTTGGAGGAGGATCTGGCAAGAAACAGTCTGTGAAAGTAGTGACCATGTGTGATCCATTAGGTTGAACTCAAGACTACTGATCCCAAATCCTTCCCTGTGAGGCTTTGGGGAATTAGGCGTTGGGGTGATAAGGGAAGAGAAGTAGGGATGCACTCAGCCAAGCCCTAGTAACCACAGCACCTACCCAGGGAACTGGGAAAGGAAGCAGTGCCCATGGTTCACAAGCAAGAAAGACACAGCTTCCCCTGGGGAAAACAGAAAGGCAGAGCGTCGACCAGGGCACGGGGGTGGGTGTGAGGGCCTTACCCAACGAGGATGTAAGTACAAGGTTCTCCAGCATCACATCATGCTACAGATGTCTCTGAGCCTCATCAAGGAGATCCCATTCCTCCCAGGAGAAGTATAGGGCCACATCCTCAAGGGTCACACTTCCCTGCCAGGATAGAGACAACGAAACCATGAATGGCCTCACTCCTGCAGACCCACAATCTATCTCACCACACATCTACCCCATGTCCATTCTCCTCCCAAGATCCCCAAATCAGAGAAGATACCAGACCCTGATGCCATTGGTGTCTGATCTCTCCTCACACTCCCATTAATCACTGTGTTCACCCTGTTTTCCACTCTGCAACCAGGTGGAGCCTGTTAAGACCTAGATAAGATCACCTCCCTCCTCTGATCTAGAGCTCCCATGGTCTCCAGAATAGATGCCTAACTTCAGAGGCAGTGGTTCCAAGCCTTACTTCTGCCCCCCGTCCCATCCCCATCCCCATCCCTATTCCCATCCCCACAGTTTGCTCTCACCAGAAAGAAAGGGGACCTGCAATTCCCTGAACCAGCTCTGCCTCACCTCCAGCAGTTCCACATACTGGTACCTGTTCTTGTGATAAGCTTCCACACCTCTTCCCATTGATGGCCCCAAACGGGAACCACAACACATAACCCCTGGCCTAGACTCAGGACCCTGAGCTTGGGGATCCTCCGGGGTCCTCAATCCCAAGGGCTGGGAGAGCAGCAGGTGAAGAGTCTCATGACACCACAAATCTGGAGAAAATATGGGATGGGACTAGTGAAGGACTGGGACAACCTTCCACTTACCTGTCCACAAGCACTTCTGCAGCCACGGAAACCTGTGGGAAGAGGCAGGTCTTAGAGGGATGTGACCATGGCCGTGCTCCACGGGCTCTGGCCTTCCCCCTACTCTTGCCAGGCCCCAGAGCCAGGTAACCTCGGGTGGACTGTCTAATCTCTGTGCTGCCCCTTGCCCGTTGTGTGTCCTTGGAATACAACTCAACTTTTCTCTGCCTCAATGTTTTCCTCACCCACTATAGTCTGATCTTCTGCTAAACTATCTTTGCCGGATTTTTCAAAGCCTCACTCAGATCATGTTTCTTTTTTGCTCAAAATTCTCCACGGCTCCCGGGGCCCTGAGGAGGACGGTGCAACTCCTCAGCCCGCCACTGCAGGTGCGACTCTACCCAAACTGTGTTCCCTGAAACCAACATGGACCCCAGTTTTCTCCGATGTTCCCGGCTCAGTCACCCCTCCAGGCCTTTCCCCCGCCGGGCCCTCCCCTGGGACCCTCTCCCACACCCGTCACCCCGGCTCTCAGAAACAGGCCCCCTCCCCGTCCCGGACACCGGGGCCTGGGCTGCCGGCCCGTGAGCGGCGCCCGCACTCGGGGCTCTAGGGCTGGGCTGGGCTGAGGGCGGGGAGGGCGCGGAGCACGAGCACTGACTGAGCCGGTTCCCTCCGCGCGGCCGCCGCCATCGGACTCGGGGCGGAGCGGGGCCGGGAGCGGCGGGAGAGGAGGGGACCCGGGCACGGCGGTCTTGTCCCGGCCCTGGCGCGGGTTCCGCGGGCGGCGTCGCCGAGCCTCAGAGCCGCCCCCTGCAGCGGGGACGGCGCCTCCCCTGACGCCTCCTCGGTCCCGTCACCTCAGCGCCCCGACACAGCAGGGCTCCCAAACGTGACGTAAACACCCCCAGAGAGCGCGCAAAAGGACCGCGTCAACAACAACGCCGGAAGTCCCGCCCGACCTCTGTGCTCAAACGGAAATGCCTTTTTTGTGAGACTTCATTGGCTCAGCGACGCCATCTTTCGTGGCAGAGCATTCAGGATAATGTAGTGCCGAAGATCCAAGGCCGCAATGAGGGGGTTCGGCACCTAACTCCAGGAGAAAAGGTCAAGATCCACCGCTTCCAGCGTTCAGAAACGGTGTTCACCTCTCCAAGGGCGTAGGAGGGTTCACCCCCTTCTTAAAGGGCCCTATGCGATTTCTGGAGACTGCTTTCTGCAACTGATCATGCAAGCCATGAATTAGGATGACGAATCTTTCCTAAGATGCCATGGGAAGCAAAGCAAATTTGCCCAAAACTCACGTGCCATTTTTTACCCTAATGCTGCTGTAACCTCAGGACATCCAGGACCAGTTCAACTGACTCCATCTTATCAACAGAGTAATTAAGAAATTGTCTTTCAGAACATTTGCGAAGTCATGTAGCCAGAGCATGCACAGAAGAAAGCTTGACCTGAAATGACTGCAGAACCCAAGATTCTCCTCCCCATGGAACTGAAGGACTGGGATGTGACTGGAATTTAAAATTCAGGCTCTTATCAGAAGCAAGGGATCTGTCATTCAGGAAGATCTGGTGTTAGAATTCCTTCCCCATGTTACCATAAGTGTTTAGAACCTCAACAAAAATGTTTAGAACCTCATCATAAATGTTTAGAACCTTACCATAAATACTTGAGGCCCACCAATCAAAACTTGTCCCGCCAGTGCTTCCATGTGCCAGCCTGTTCTCCATAACCTCTTAAATTTTGCCCCAAATCCTGAATCAAGGAGACTGATGTGAGGGCACACACCCCCTGTCTGCCTGCAGATTGATCTCACAGAATAAAGCTTGTTTCTTTTCCCAAAGGCTGATGCTGTAATTAACTGGCTTTTTCATGCCCATTGAACAAGAGAACCCCAATTTTGTGCAGTAATACTGTTCCCTCAGAGGCACAGAAAGTTTGGGACTATACAAAAATTGCAATGTTTGCAGAGCCCAAATATGTTTATAACCCACCCCACACAGTGAACAAAACCCCCAAGAAAGAGAGGACTTAAACAATAGGGCCCTTCTTATTCTACAACCAAATCAATCTGTGGCAGGTAGTTCTTGGGTTGGTGACTTGGGAACTGGAAAAACTCTTTATAAATATCATGTGACATCAACATGTCCCTGAAAAGGTAGTCCTTCTTGCAAGGTGCCAGTAGAGTTCGTTAGGTATCCTCTAGGACAAACCTGAGGGAGGTCCATGGCACAACTAGTCAGAGAGAAGGGACTGTAGACCCCCCTAAGACCTCAGGCTACACCTAATTTGTTCCAATACCAGAGAGAACAGAGGTCAGCTTCCCTGCGCACATTGGTGTGGTGACTGATGCACACTGTGTGGACCTGCCAAGTGGTAGGGGTGAAATGTCTTCAACAACAGAAACTGGTAGTGACATAAATCTGGGAAGGGCCCTGGGCAGGGTAGAAAGTGCAACACAGCCACACGTGCTTCCCACATAAATTAAACTTACGGGAAATCTACCCAGAATGTTTGGATGTATGAGATTCAAATCAGACTGATGGTTAGTCATGGCAGCTTTGCTCCATTTTTTTTATTGTGCAATTTTTGTTGTACATTATTCTTTGTCAGTCACCATATAAGTGCATCCCTCCACCCCTTGTGCCCACCCCCCAGCCCCCTAGCCCCTGATAACCACCAAACACTTCTATCTGTCCGTGTGTTGGTTTATCTTCCACATATGAGTGAAATCATGCACTGTTTGTCTTTCTCTTTCTGGCTTATTTTGCTTAACAATACCTCCAGGTCCATCAATGTTGTTGCAAATGGGATTATTTTGTCTTTTTTTATGGCTAAGTAGTATCCCATGGTATATATATACCACATCTTCTTTATCCAATCATCAGTTGAGGGGCATATGGGTTATTTCCATGTCTTGGCCATAGTGAATAATGCTGCAATGAACATAGATAGCCTCTTTGGATTGTTGATTTCAGGTTCTTTGGGTAGATACCCAGTAGTGGGATAGCTGGATCATAAGGTATTTCTATTTTTAATTTTTTGAGGGATCTCCATACTGTTTTCCATAGAGGCAGCGCCAGTTTGGATTCCCACCAGCAGTGGATTAGGGTTCTCATTTCTCCACAGCCTCTCCAGTATTTGTTATTTTTCATCCTGGTGATTATAGCCATTCTAATGGGTGTAAGATGATATCTTAGTGTGGTTTTTATTTGCATTGCCCTGATGATTAGTGATGTTGAGTATCTTTTCATGTGCCTATTGGCCATCTGTATATCTTCTTTGGAGAAGTATCCATTTCCTCTGCCCATTTTTTGATTGTGTTGTTTTTTTGTTGTTCAGTTGTGTGAGTTCCTTATATATTATGGAGATTAATCTCTTGTCACATATATGGTTTACAAATATTTTTTCCCTGCCGGCCCCGTGGCTTAGCGGTTGGGTGCGCGCGCTCCGCTGCTGGCAGCCCGGGTTCGGATCCCGGACGCGAACTGACACACCGCTTCTCCGGCCATGCTGGGGCCGCGTCCCACATACAGCAACTGGAAGGATGTGCAGCTATGACATACAACTATCTACTGGGGCTTTGG